CCAAACAAAGTTTTAAAACAATGAAAATAAGACAAGTCTCTTTTGAAAAATAACATATATTAATTTTTGAGAGTAAAATCATGACAGCTGTAATGATCTCAAGTGTACGAATTGCAGTAAATGAATGATAGGAATAAAAATGCAAGAAAGTAAAGCAATCAATAATTAACTCAGTAGCATCATCTCATATTCTCATGTATGTTGATTCATCCCCATTCTCATGTATATTGGTTGCTTCTCAGGAATCTACACAACAACTCTACCTTGTTCACCCATTACAACCACATAATCTCAATCATTTCCCGCATGACCNCATATTCTCATGTATGTTGATTCATCCCCATTCTCATGTATATTGGTTGCTTCTCAAGAATCTACACAACAACTCTACCTTGTTCACTCATCACAACCACATAATCTCAATCATTTCCCGCATGAACAAATAACAAATCACTTTAGGAAGGGTGTATACCGTCTCCCATGGCATTGACGAATCCTTCTAAGAAAAGGTATATCATCCATCAGCCTCGAACTTACATAAACAATAGTGGTTGCTCTCATAAACAATAATCCATTACAATTGTTATGCAATCATCTCAACCCCACTACGATAGACTAATTNAATCCTTCTAAGAAAAGGTATATCATCCATCAGCCTCGAACTTACATAAACAATAGGGGTTGCTCTCATAAACAATAATCCATTACAATTGTTATGCAATCATTTCAACCCCACTGCGATAGACTAACTTCTAACACTCAACGACAGTTCTCGAAGGCAATTCAAATCCATCACATTCAAACCATACAAGAGATGAAACCACAATATTTTCAACAACCGCAATCTTAACCAATCACAATTTTCATTAACAATTCAAGTATCACAATTGTATAATTCTCAATATACTATAGTAATAAAGGAATTAAAATATGCAAAAGATCATATCAATAAAACCTTCTCAATTTCGATATCAAAATTCTAGGGTTTTTTCAAAAATCACAATTTCTTGGAACAAGAACAAGTATTATATGAAAATACAATCTAATCAAGAATAGAATTTAGAAATGAAGAATCCATATGAATTTCATAATAGGACATGTATCTTGGAAAAACTAGAGTTTTGAAAATTCAAGGACAATATTTCTTGGATACAGGACATTTATCCCGTTGAAAACCATATGTTATGCCAAAAAAAAAATGAACAATTAATTANTCCATATGAATTTCATAATAGAACATGTATCTTGGAAAAACTAGAGTTTTGAAAATTCAAGGACAATATTTCTTGGATACAGGACATTTATCCCGTTGAAAACCATATGTTATGCCAAAAAAAAATGAACAATCAATTAATCAAAATAAACCAAGAACAAAAGATTATTTAATATATAATAATCTAGAAGATTTAAAAGATACATAATTATACCCGAAGTCTTAATAAAAAAACTTGAGTAGAATCCCCTACCTAGAATTCATATTTTGTGTATAAATTTAGCATATTTGATTCGTTCCAACGTGAGAATCTCTCTTCAATCTTGTGTNAATTATACCCGAAGTCTTAATAAAAAAACTTGAGTAGAATCCCCTACCTAGAATTCGTATTTTGTGTATAAACTTAGCAAATTTGATTCGTTCCAACGAGAGAATCTCTCTTCAATCTTGTATNTCTTAATAAAAAAACTTGAGTAGAATCCCCTACCTAGAATTCATATTTTGTGTATAAATTTAGCATATTTGATTCGTTCCAACGTGAGAATCTCTCTTCAATCTTGTGTTTCTCTTATTCTCTCTAGCTTTCTAAGGTTCTCTAGGGTTAAGAACTAATGAAATAGGGCTAAAGGAACATTCTTATGGTATTTATAAGGTGAAAACGTAGAAATACCCTAAAACTGAGCGGGGCCATTTTTAGCATAACGTCCGGATGGTACTTAGGCATCCCAACGGTATAAATTCACTGTTTTGGATGATAAATAATATTTTAGGGAAGGAAGGGGCATCCGCATGATACTTGGGGCGCTCGGATGGTGCCAAATTTATGTCCTAACTTTAGGAGTAGTTTTCACCTACTTAGAAGTCAATTCAGAAAATTTTCATGAAATACACTTTTGCATACCTTGAAGTCTAGTTTATACTATCCAAAACTTAGCACGATCGGAGTTATGAGTAAAAAGTTATGGCTAAAATAATAAGATAGTGTAAAATTCCTTCCTACACAAATTCCTTCTAAAATGCATTTTTACTCTGGAATACTTTATAACTTCTAATACACTCCATATTACCTCTCCCAAGTTTTCTCAACCTTTCAGATCCAGTGGAAACTTTATTTTTACATAAAATATTTAGAAATCTACCAAATCACTAGTCTCAAACTTAAACACTTTCAAAACNATCCAGTGGAAACTTTATTTTTACATAAAATATTTAGAAATCTACCAAATCACTAGTCTCAAACTTAAACACTTTCAAAACTAAATTTGACCCGAAAGTCAATTTGTCTGAAACTCAAATTTTATGATCAATATTTTAACAATGATTCGATATTTCTACAATCCTTTTATTCATCCTAAGAAAAATATTAATATGATATTTTTCTTATTTAATTATAGTACGAGATCTTACAAAGAGTCTATAACTAGGCTGCCTTACAACCATTTTCAATACACTACAATCGGACAATAATCATCTGTATACTATTGTTTCTCTCTCTCCCTTTCTTCATGATATTTTGTTTGGTTCAAGTATTAAAAAAAAATTGTGTTCATTGGAGTTCTGAAAATTAAAGCGTTGCTTCTTTAGAAACTAAAATCCGTTCTATATTGAGAGACAATTACTTATCAACCTTAAGTATCGATAATGCGCAAATTTGTCTTAAAAAAACTATTATTTCACAAGGCTCGAATTATTTTTGATTTTCTAGATTCTATTTATATTATTGTTCTTCTGTGTCATTGTGAGTGTGTCTTTGTCTTTATGTTCTATTTTTTTTATTACATTGTAAATAACGGTATCCTTAGTAGATTTAGAATTTACTAAAATAATTAATTCTTTACTCTGATTACATATATCTATACTACTTCTAAATGTACACATATTGAAAAAACTTCTGTTTCACTCTTTTACCCTCTAACAACTTTTAAATATTCAAAATACCATGCACTCGAATGACTATTCATTATAAAATATATTTATTTATTGTTTGACCTTTAATATCTCTCGTTCTATTCTCACTACCCATCTATATCTATATCTATATTTATATTTATATCTATATCTATACTTCTTATAAATTTATATCTATATTATTACTTATAAAAATCTATATCTATATTATTACTTATAAAAAACTTATGTTTTCCTAATTAATTTTTTATACACTTAGTACACTTTTTAGATGGCAATAGATTAAATTTGAAGATATGAATAATAACAACATTAAATTAAAATTTTCACATTCTCTCTCAAACTGAAAGGTTTGAGAAAATCAATCAATGGAACTGAAAGGTTTCCAATCAATGGGTGATAAACACAAGTGGTTGGTTTCTTTGTGTTTCGTATTCTCTCTTCTTTCCCATATAACTATGCACAAAAGGCCAAAGGACTCCTATATACTCCCCAATTATGTGAAATCATCTTTTCTTTCTCCACTTCACCAATCTTTCTCTTTGATTTGTTTTTTATCTTCTGAGTGTGATATATTGTGTGTCTAGGCATGTGGTTCCCATGTGTAAGCCTGATTATCATTTCCTTCATCTTCTAATTGGTGTTTTTGCATTTTGATAGAGAAGAACCCCAACATCAAAGCTTGACAACAACGAAAAATTGACGATGAGGAATTTGATGTGAGGTATGTAAAATATTGGCATCTTATTAAATTAGTTGTTTAGTGTTGAGCTTGTTTGGATAAAAGTCAAGTAAATTAATGAATTTGGTGGATTTGATGAAGTTGAATTTTTCAATTGAGTAGCAAACATAACCATCAAACAATGGTTTGCTCACTTGCCGATAAAACAATGGGTGCTTTGTCTGCTATTACTTCAAGCTCCACAACTTTCATGTACAAGGTTGTATTATCTATTGCATTATAAAACAAATCACTTACGGACAAATTTAATTCTTCTTCCCTACTCACAAGTCCATGCCTATATCGTACTATAGGCATCATATGTTTCGGTTACTAATGAATTTCTCCTTGCAAAACTTTGTTGAGGGCGGAGTGATTGCTCTTTTTTGAAAAGTAGTGCTGTTTTTAATTGGGTATCTTTTTATTGTTTAGTTCCTCAGATTCTATATTATCTGTCCTTTACATTATAGATTTTGGAATTTTTGGTTAATGAATAGGAATTTTAATGTCTAGATTGGTGGTAGGACAGTAGGAGTGAGTATAAACAATGGATTCTTCTTGTGCCAAAAATGAAGGCTGCAGTGCACCCACTGCAAGTCAATAAAGGTTTTAGTCATGGAGACCATGGTTTTGGGGGGATGAAGAACAAGGTGAGTCCGAAGAAAAAGGTGAGTCCAAAGAACAAGGCATTTAGCTTTCAATTGTGGAGGAACTTGAGAAGTGAAAAAAGGCCTAGAAAAGTTAAATCGGGGGTTACCTTCTTTGTTCTGGCAAGGATTCAAGAATCCGTTAACTAAAATCAAGGAACTATTCATATAATATTGAATAAAAATAAGGAATGTCAATCCTTGATAATTTTGTCATCATCCAATTGTTCTCGAATGGGCCCATTCAACAATGTAAAATATCACAATGTGATAAAAGAATAAATTCAAAAAGATCCCCCAATTCCAATTAGGAATTCGTTGAGACCTTTAGGAACAGCCTTGGCAAGCTTGTTTGTGTTCAGGCTTTCAACATCATATACTAGTGCTAGTGCGGGTGAAAGTCTCAAAAAAGACTTAGCCATTTCCTAGCAACACAAGGCAGGCTAGAAAGGCGAGAGGGGCTATAGTAGCTACACGAAATCAAGTCATTCTTTCTAGAATACTTGCTGGCATGCGAGACGAGACTAGAACTAAGGCCAATGGCAAGAACTCCACCAACAAGAACCCTACCATCAACCAAAAGGCCATGAGCTTCAACTTTATAGAAGACATTTACAGAAAGCTCCTGGTGAGTACATAACATATATTTATCAAGATTTTATATTATTCTTTATGATATACATTAGATTTCAAGAAGAGGGTGTGGATTCAATTCAAATCAAATATTACTATGTTTTGAATGTTGTTGAAACTGGTATGAATGTGTAATTTTCATGTGGGACTTTTGCTATTTATGTCTTTTATTGGTTTCAAACTTTTGAAGCACCAGTACTTGATCAGCCAAAGGTAGACCCAAAAACTGTAGCTTTGATCATTCTGGGTGGAGGTGCTGGGACTTGCCTCTTTCCTCTTATTGGAAAATGTTCAAAATCAGTCGTAAGAAAGACGCCCACATACTCTCCCCTTCTACAATTTTCACTGTTTAATTTGATTTTCAATCATTTTGATTGATTGTTGGGGGTTGGATTATTTGAAGTTAACTTTAGTTTAAGAGAATGGAGGAGCATTAAGCCCAAATGAATGGTTAACTCTGGTTCAATATCAAACCCCATGCTTGAAATTATACAGCATAGGAAGATTTTATGTTGAAATTCTTTAAAATTCTACAATAAACATGATGATAAATTTCTAATGTTCTTTGTTCCAACAACACGCTGATTTGGTTTGGGTTGCAGGTTCCAAATGGAGGATGTTACAGGCAAATTGATGTACGTATGAGTAACTGCATCAATAGTGGCATAACAAAAGATTTGTTTCCTTATCCAAATCAACTTTTTCTCCCTCAACCGTCACCTTGCTTGCACATACAACTTTGGAATGGTGAGAGTTTTGGGGATGGATTTGTAGAGGTAAGATGAATCATTAAACCTGTAAACAGATATATCAGTCAGCAATACTAGAAATGCATAATTTGAAGTTGAACTTTATTTTGAGAATGTGGTTCTTTTGTCTAATTATAAGAAAATGCATGTTACGAAATGTTAGCGATATAATTTATGTTAATTATTTTACTATTTAGTGGAATTTTTTGATGGCTAAAAGCTAAAATTACTTGGGAACAAGTTTGGTTGCCACTTAAACACCTGGAGAAACAAGAAATATTCATGTTTATTTGGAGTCCCTCTAAACCTTTCTCAGTTTTTCACAGATGAGGCCATTGCAGGTGATGAAAATATGATAATGAGAAAATGAACCAAATTCTCCTAAGAAGCTAACAATTATCATGTTCCACGTCATTAAATAAACTACATAATTTGTTTAGAGCATAGTTTTAAAACTCGACTCGAACATCAACGCGGGAGAAGGACCAGGTTAATAGATCATTGGTTCAATCGTTGGGTTACTGATCGAACCGGTTATATAATAATAAAATAAAAAATTATTATACATGATAATACATAGACTAAAAAATCAAAATAATTGTGAAAAATAGCATGCTTAATGTACATTGGATCAAATTAAAAAAAACCCCAAAATCATCAAGCATGTATCCAATGCATTCAATTTTCCTAATATGCTGAATGTAGAGCAATTATTCCACAAATTATTTATGATTAAATCCTTAATCTTCTTCATTTTTTCCCAACAAACAATTTCTTGTCTTGACATTCGTAACAGTAAGTCAAAAGGAAAAACACAGATGCATTATGTATAATGTGAGTTCTAATTTTCTTCTCATTTTTAGATTCATAACAATACACCAAAAATTAGGCACAACATCATTCATTTTCAGTAATCATCTTTGTGATAATCTTTATATATTGGCAAACACAATAAAAAACTAAGAACGAAATTAAACAGAAAAATACAAGTAATTATCATTATTTTGTCTGTGTAAATTATAATTGGTCTATGAGTTTTGTAGAAAATTGAAACTTTGGATAGTCGTTGGTGGATGCCCCATTGTAAGTTACCAACCAAGTCTACTCTAAAAAGCACACACACATACATAAAGAGAGAGAGAGAGAGAGAGAGAGAGAGAGAGAGAGAGAGAAAGAGTGTGTGTGTGTGTATCTACTGGTTATTGACTTCTTGTTGTGTGATGTTGTGTTTCACTTGACTTGAGATAAGGAAACACAGAGAATAGGGTTGAAGCAAATCATCGATCAAAGTCTAGGTGAAGAGTCCTTTTGATTGAACTCTGAATGAAACAAATCGACTTTGAATGTTCGAGACTTCGAGTTCCACTTTGATCGAGTCGCAACGGAAAGGAAGAGAGAAAGAGAGGGGTTAAGCAAGTTGTCGCCCATCACCAAAGGCAACGTAGTTGGATCGGGGGATGGAAACATTTAGGCCAAAAAGCCCAAAAGGCCAAAACTCCCCTTTTTATACCCTTTTAATTAAACCGTCCCATTTATTCAAAATCGTCTGGTTTGAACAGTTTACTCATAAACCGCCCGGTTCAACGGGTTTCTTCTGACGTTGGTGCTCAAATGATCCAGTAAAGGGACCAGCCTGGTTTATGCTCAGGTTCATCGGGTCAAACCGCCGGGCTTGGCTGTCACGGATTTTAAAACACTGGTTTTGAGTGTTTCCAATCCAATTTATTGATTTCTCTAAAACTAGTAGGTGCACACGTGCGTTGCACGTGCATTATTTTGTTATATGATTTTTGTTTTCATTGATCCATGCTCCATAGGAAAAGTCAGAAAGTGAATAGTGAAAATATAATAATTGTATTAAAATTCAGCCCATAATTAATCTAAATTCAGTAAAATACCCTCCAAACCCGCTTCATATTAGATCCCTCCAATAGTACACCAATAAATGAGCCACACTATCTTTTTCGAAGTACAATTTGAATTTTAGTAAAAAATTCTATTTGACTAATTTGGACAATAATATTAGTCCCCTTTGATCAAATTGTTTGAATTCCTTCTAAATACAAATTTTGTATTCATATCAAATATGGTTATGGTCAGCAAACCATAAATCATTTTCCAATAGGAGTGCAAGCCATTGTTTCTAAAGCAAATGAACTATAAAAACTTCTATCCACGAACATAAATGACTTATCTTTCACAAAAACTACATACTAATTATCACATTTAGTCGTTGATTTAAGTATTATTGTCCAATCATTCAGATTGCAGTGATAGACTTTTCAAAAAGCTTATCAGGTATCTAGGTGTGGGGGATAATATCTATGCATGCCTTGAACTAATGGATGTTTGATTTTTTTTTTTTTTTCTGATACACCCTCGAATGGCATGATTATAAGGTTGGTACAAAAAGAGTAAACATAGGAAAATCTCTTTTAATACTTAAACATCTCCCATGTTGACCCTTCTTGTTCAAGTATTTGGTGAGTGGGGGAGAAAAGGGCTGCCTATACAAGGAATTTGATCTTGATTCACTACAATAATCAAGTAACCACTTTAATATACTTGTTTTCATTAGTCAAGTCTTGCAATCTTGAAAAAGAGGAAGCTTAAGAGGTGACTTCAGGAATTTTAGTTTATTTTTTACTACGTTAACCAAAGCCCCCCATCAACTCCATGTCTCCATCTAGAAAGGGTCTAGTAAAACGCCTCGTTCGACATGCTAGAGGTGAAGGTCATTGGCCTCCCTCCCTTAATGGCTTGATGTATGTTCCTTTAGCTATAGACATATACAATCTACTAATAGTATATTTCACATAGTGCAAGGAAGCTCATTAGGCTTTCATACGAAAAGATGATCAAATTTCCAGCACTTAAAAAACAATGAATAAACACAAATCCATTAGTAAAAGTTAAAATACTAAGCAAAAAGAAAGTTAATAAACACAAGTCCTCCTTTCTATCCAGGTTCTCAAAGAAATGCATTTGAATGCAGTCTTAGGAAATCCAAGTATCATGATTAAATAAAACAAGATGAAGCATCTTACAATACTTTCTCGGACACACCATTTGGTGAGAAAAGTGGCGACCCTAAAGTCATCAAATCCTCATGGTCCATGCCCATAAGAACATTCTTGCCTATAAAATGAGGATAAATAATAACATATCATTTGTCATGACCAATTCCAGATTCATTTTTTGAATTCCCGAAATTGTGAAAGATGAATGCCTAACCAAATTGCGGCTTCGCATCAACATAGTATTTCTTCCTTTTTTGACAACATTAGCAAGAATATGCTAGTAATGCTCAAATGATTTTTTGAGGGAAGAATTGAAGGTAGTGAATGAAATAAGTTTGGGGGGGGGGGGTATTAAAGGCGGTGACCGAAATGGGTTTGGTGGCAATGGAATCCCAAACGCCAAAAGTTGTTGCTGATGTTGGCAAGAATGGCATCGGTGGTGGTGGACTGAAAAAATCTTGTTGGACAACCTTTTGATATTCCAGTAACCGAGATCATGCTATTAGAGAGTCCTTACATAAGGACTTCTTAGTTAGTGGTGGTAAATATGGGAGTGTAGGAGGTAGTTGCAAATGAGGGAATTATTGATGGTAAACTCTCGTTTCACAAGGTCTAGGAAGAATATGAAGAATTGAAGTTTTAAAGTGTAATTGAATACTGAATTCAGATGAATATTTTTCGGAACTCAAGGAGTCTGAACATTAAATTGTCTTTATAATTCATGAAGTTTAACCATTAAATTGTTTGTATTTGAAGGAGGACAAAATTGTCTTTATTGTGCTATCCAATGACAAAATAGGAAAATATATTTTTTTTCAATTAGCATACTTTTATTAGTAGATATTGATATAGTATAATCAATATGCAATTAATTCCTTAATGATAAAATTTGGCTAATTTAATTGATGAATATACATAGAGCAAGAATATTAATAGTTACACGGGTTAATGTATAACATTAAACCATGACCTAGACTTAAAAGGATAAAATTGACCGTATAATATTAATTGAGGAAAACTTGGAAAAAAAATATTTAAGCCGTCTTTTATTATTATTATAGATATAAATATGTGTGTGTGCAACGTGTTGAATGGGTGAGGAGGACATAGATGAACGACTGTAAAGATGACGTTTTGGTTATTGGAATACAAAAGAGTAAGAAATCATGACTAACAATTCACTCTTTTATTGTTCTCCAGCTAATTAGTATATTAATCTGAATTCATTGAAAAATGTAATGGGAGTCACTGCTGAGTGAAAAAGAAAGGAGATGAAAAGTCATTGCACCTACACAATAAATAGATGAATTTTTATGGTGAACAACATTTATAATATATATTTAATCATGGTAATTTAGAAAATTAATAAATATTAGAGGGTAAAAGAGGTAAACAAATGTTTTTCCAACATATGTACTTTTTAAAGTAGTATAGATTTTACGTTCAATTCGAATAGATAATATATGGTTTAAAAATGTATTTTTGAAGTAATTTTACAAAGGGAAAAAGAAATTTTGCTAAAAAGTGAAAAAATAAATATTGGTTAATTACATTATTATTAAAGTGACCTAGGAACTCCCTTTCAATTATAAAGAATGATTTCTCCGATGTCCTCGCATCGCAAAAAAAAAAAAAAGATTTGTTCGCTTCTATGAAATGAAGCATTTTTTTTTCGGTATAATCTCGTCGAATAACTAATTAATAAGTAATAAATTTCTATTCAAATACGGAACAAAAACGGACACTATAAAGGATGGGTAGAAAAATTTGTAATACTTTGCTCGATTAAGGGGAAACNAAATATTAATAGTTACACGGGTTAATGTATAACATTAAACCATGACCTAGACTTAAAAGGATAAAATTGACCTCATAATATTAATTGAGGAAAACTTGGAAAAAAAATATTTAAGCCGTCTTTTATTATTATTATAGATATAAATATGTGTGTGTGTAATGTGTTGAATGGGTGAGGAGGACATAGATGAACGACTGTAAATATGACGTTTTGGTTAT